ATCCCCCACCCCACTCTGCCAATCCCTACACTGGCTTCCAATAGCCCAAAGGATAGAATTCAAAATATTAACAACCACTTACAAAGCCGTCCACAACTCAGCCCCCGGCTATATCTCAAACCTGATCTCAAAGTATCACCCTAACCGTCCCCTCCGCTCTTCACAAGACCTCCTGCTTTCCAGCTCCCTCGTCAACTCCTCCCATACTCGCCTCCAGGACCTCTCTAGAGTCTCTTTCATCCTCTGGAACTCTCTATACCAACCTATCCATCTATCTCCCACTCTGACTGCCTTTAGGCGATCCCTTAAGACTCATCTCTTCAGGGAAACCGATCCCACCTCAACCTAACCACTGAACCATCACGTTCTGAAACAATTCATCCCCACACAGCCCCCTCCTCATGTATTACTTCCCCCTCCCTTTTAGATTGTAAGCCCTCAGGGGCAGGGCCCTCCTTACCATCTTGTCTTGAATTGTATTGTGACTGTAATGTCTTCCTTATATTGTAAAGCGCTGCGCAGACTGTTGGCGCCATATAAATCCCGTATAATAATAATAACTCCCCACATGAATGGAGTGGCTTGGTCTGTTAGTATTTCCTTGGGAAAACCGTTCCTCTAAAAGAGGTGGAACAGCTCCCGGGCAATCACTTTGGGTGAAATTATATTCAAGGGAATCACTTTAGAGAATCAAGCGGCATCATTGATGATTACCAATATGTAGGAGTGACCTAAAGCCCACCTTACCATTGGACCTATTATAGCCATCTGTTCAAAGGAACCTCAATAATGGTTAGGGGTACCAAAGGGCTTCACCGGAGCAGTTAGCTGGCAGGTGGGACAAGAAGTACAGCATCTCCTTACCTCAGTCGTTAGTCCTGGTCAGTAAAATCGATTAGTGATACGCAAATCTTTTTTCTCTGTTCCGAGGTGTCCCACTAAAATGTCACTATGGGCCAGGTCAAGAAACTTACTCCTGTAGGATCGAGGCACCGACAACTGTTTGACGTCTTGCCACACCTTGACGACTCAATAAAATAGGTCACTATTCACTCCTAGATAAGGCCACTGCTCGTACGCACCCGGGGAACCCCATTTACCACCACAACCTGTTCTCTTGCCTGAGACAAAGTGGGGTCCTGCATCTGGGCCACACCAAAAGCTCCCTGAGAGACACCCAAATCCGGCAGAGTAGAGGCAGTTTCCTCTTTATCTTCCCCAAGCATTACCTGTAATGGGCAAGTCTCTACCCAGAGGTCCACTTGGCCCAGACCTGGCACATCATCATCCAAAGCATCAACATCAGTAGCTTCTGGTGGCAGTTCAGGAAGGTTCCTGTAAGATTAGGGACGGAAGTATCTCTTACCCCAAAAAATCTGTAGGCTGTCCAAGTATCTCTTACATGCTCCCATAGATCAAAAAGTAATGGGCAGTCCCGTCCCACTATAATGTCATGTACTAGATTTTTTTACAATCCCCACCTCTTGTGTAGCAGAGCCACAGGCAGTGGAAGTTGGCCCTGGGACTAGTGTGTATTCCATGGTTTCACCATGGATACATACAACCCATGGAGTCTTACTCACCGGGCCTATTTTCCCTATCACCCGGGTGTGCCCAGGTGTGACCATGTTCAGTCCAGCAAGGCCTCCACAGGAAGGCGATTCACCCAAACATCAGACTCAAACTGCCCTTCA